CACTTTTAGAGAATATTACAAATAAAAGTCAAATTTGATTCAACATGCGTGTATTTTTTTTATATAATTAAGTGTTCCACATGTGCTGAAAAGTGCCCTCCCCCCCTCCTGAGCACCTGCCCCCCAAAATGTCTGTGCACGCCTCTGATAGGCTTAGACTGCTGGAAGACCCTTTTCATCATTCTGCTTCATTCTATCTCTATTCTACCATTCCGCAATATTTATTAGTTCAATCTCTAGCTTTATGCTCTCTTCTCTTTTTCTCATCATAAAGATAGCTTCATCTGGTCTGTTCCTGTTTGGCTGTGACTCCATCCTGGAAAGAAATATCAGCTGTGCTGCTGTCATCAAAACCTTTGTTTATAGATGTTTGGAGGTTGGCCTGTTTTTCAGTGTAGTCCAGTTTATATGACTGTGACTAACTGTATGTGCTCTCTTTCATCCTCTGACATGGCAGCTGGCTGTGTTTTTCAGGGACGGGGCTGTCATCCCTGCTTCTTTTTGTATGTCTACTTTCTCCGTGCAAACCCCAGTTGGCCTGGCAGATGGCCGCTCAAGCTGAGGCTTGTACTGCTGGAGGTTTCACCCTGTTAAAATTGAGTTTTCCTCTCCATTATTGCTACAGGCATGCTTGGTGTTAGGGTTGGCGGTTGAGTCAGTGAGTCAATGCAATCAGCGTAGATGGAAAATTTTGAAGCAGCTGACTGTTTGATCTAGTTGAATGGTCTCTGTAAAGTGCCCTGAAAGTTCCTTGAGATGACATGCGTTTTGAATTGCCGCTATATAAGTATACAGAACTGCATTGAATTGAGATTGGTTGGTCAAAATTAGGCTGTTCAGTGGCGGGGCCTTTCTGCGTGGAGTTTGCATGTTCTCCCTGTGCATGCCTGGGTTCTCTCTGGGTACCCCGTCTTCCTCCCACAGTCCAAAAACATGACTTTTAGGTTAATTGGTTTCTCTAAATTGTCATTAGATGTTAGTGTGTGTGCTAATGGTTGTTTGTCTCTGTGTGTCAATATGTCGCCCTGCGAAGGACTGGCGACCTGTCCAGGGTGGACCCTGCCTCTCGCACAGTACCTGCAGTGCTATTACTATTTAATTTTGAGTATTGAAAAGCACTGAAGCCAATTTGAGAAAGTTTTTGAAATAAAAGGAATTTAGGAATTCATACCAATGCATTTAAAGAACTAACCCAGATCTTTTACTTTCTTGTATCAAAAGTGCAGATAATTATGTTTTTATTCTTTAAATTATGTAACTCAAGCACACAAAGCATTTATGCTTTCAAGGACTGTTTCACACATTTGATCTAAAGGGAAGTTATTCATAGCAACTGCACACCATTCTAGGAACGTTAGGCCTTAAACTTGTCATTTGTAAGGCTGCAGGGGCATGCATGACAAGTTTGACAACTTTGGATGAACTGCATGTGGTAAAATCCTTTTGTTTTCATTTGCTGTAGGAGAGAAAAAGCTATATTTACACAGGTGTTTTTTCACTGTAGATTACATAGGGTGGTAATAAAAAAAACCCCATCTGTGAGCACAATAGGTTGCGCAACGAGACCTATTTATTAAATTTTCGTGTTTTTATTTTTCAAATTTTTTGTTTGTTTGTTTGCCTAAAAGTTCAAGGCTCAAAATCGAGGCTCATAAAATTCTTTCTTTATCTTTTGTTTTTAATAAATATTATTTCCCCTTCAACGTTATTACCGCTGAGATACACTCTGACCAATAGGGCTGCTTATTGGGAAATCTTAGGGCGAACACTCGTCTTTCCATTGGTTGACACAGGCATAAATGGGCGGGGATAAGAAAATGCCTTACCATAACAAGAACGGGCGCGTGCTCAAACACGAGCTCGATAGGAGTTTCCAGAACTCAGCCCGGCGACGAGACCCGAAGGAAAAAAAAAAAACACCAATGGCTCACGCAAGAAGAGTTTAATCCGACAACAGTTCTGACAGCTGGGGCGTTCAGGTAGGACTCTGTCATTCTGAGCAGCTGTCATGCAGCAGAGGCAAATCTCAGTCCTCTTAGGCATAGAGTGTGACAAACATTATTATGTATATGTCTATATTTTTAAGTGAGTTTGCTGCCTGGTGACGAAGTTTATGGGTTTGCAATTGTCAAACATTGAAGAAGTAAGTCTCATTCTGCAGCCTCAGAGGGTCCAAACAACAAAGCCTTCAAATATGCATGCTCTTACTAGTTTGTGAAATAGTAGTAATCCCTAAGAACTTTGTTCAACAGAAGCAGATGTGATTTCCTGCTGCTTTTTCGCAAAAATATTTAGAAAAAACTGAAATCTAAGATATGCTCCCTATAGCACAAGCTGGCTATATTATATGTTATCTAAGTCAGTTGCACCCATGCACTCTGGCTTCAAAACATGTGATGATTGCATGGTTTGCATTAAAATTAGGGACTTAATACATTTTCTTTTGTATCTATAAGTCCCTCTGTAAGGTTGTTTTTTTTCTAAATAATAATAGGTTTATATGCTTCCACTTTTTTTTTTTTTTTTTACAGTAAATACAGCATAAACTAACATCAACTGCATGCTTATATATTTTTTGTCTTTTTATTGGTCTTAATCAGAGTTTTGAGATATTAGAGTTTTCAAGTTTTATGAAGAAATTGCTTTTTTTGTTTTGTTTTTAAAGCTACATTACTTTTAGAAATGTATTTGTAGTCATCCGATAACAAGACAATGTATTCTTCACTTTTCACTTCACTTCACTTTTTCTGGCTAGCATTGCAAAATGTAAAAGTCTGTTGTTGTTTTTCCAATTCATTTCCACTGTGTTATACTAATTTATTTCATGCTAGGCCTACTCTCAGTTTCCATTGATAATGGACCCCAACACTCAGACCATGAAGACCCCTAGACACCTACCAAGCGATCAAGCGTCTGAAACCCAGAGGCTAACCCCACCTAAAAAACCAGGTACATACATTAATACCTTTAGGCATTTAAAGTAATGTTTTGTTGTTGTGTAATAAAGGAATGTATCTTTATAGGGCAGAGAAATCTTTGATGATCAGTATCTGACTCAAACACCCATTTTAACACAGCAGTGATCTAATTAGGATTTGGAGATAAAAAGGTTAAAAAACAAAGAAGTTGTAAAGTGCTTTCTGAGCAATGTATTGTTTTTTTTCTTTATAAACATTCTTAATCAAGTTTTTATTACCTTACAATTTAAAGGTTAAGTTTTATCTAGTAAATTGGCAAACATAACCACTGGGAAAAGATTAAATAATTTTGCATATACAAGCGGATTGCTACAGAGCTATCACCGGAAAACTTGTCATGTAAGGAATTCTTTACCATATCTTTCGTAAACTCATTATATATGTTGTTTATCTGCTTCACGCATGTTTTTAAGGCATTACCAGCCATGACTAAAAGTAAAGTTTTATTTATGGGCCTTTGGACTTTAAAATAGTTTGAAAAAGTATTATATGAAAGTTTGGCTAAGAGTTCAAATGGGCTCTGTGAAAAAGTTTTTTTCTCTTATTTTTTTTTCTGGTGGATTATTAATCCCAAATTTTCACCTATTTATGTTGTGTACAGCGGGTCTCCTGCCAAAGGTGACATAACAGGAAACTGGTTAGGGTGAGAACTAATGATTGTCAAGAAGTCTGCCAAAAATATTTGGAGCTCAGTGCTTCACAAATGAAATTATTTACATGGAACCTTTCCATGTTTTTTTTAAGAATCAGGACATGTCCATACATCAAATTCTCCAATTCTTTCTGGTCAACCACAAAGCCAAACATTGCTGATCTATTCCTGCCCACCATCAGGATCCACAATTGGTTGCACAGTTGACTTTATTGCCCCATTTTCACTACCCTTTTGAAACTGTGCCAAGATCGGTCTGAGCACGGTAACTGAGACAACTGTTGAGTGTAAATGGCACGCACAACTGTACTGGACCGTGCCAGACACATATTTGTGTCTGCATCGTTCCAGACACAACTGGCCAGACACTTCTGGCTCAGTTCTCAGATAACAAAGAGTGCATGAGAAGACCTTACAGTCAGCCTCTGTAATCATAAAAATTTCAGATATTTATAAAAATACCAGCTTGCCTACCGTGCCACACAGTTCCAGGGATGATTCTGCTTAGCAGTGTGATAAACCTCAACGATTGATGTCGTTTCCTGCATCTGTAAGCCCTGATTAGACAATGTAATAACACAATTTTAACCAAACTTCCTGAATGCTACGGGTGCCGCCATGTTGATTTGCTTGTTTACCTGGAGAGAGCAGTTGTACCGCAGACCGTCACTAGGAGGCGAGGAACCATGCTAGCGTGACGTGTAAACGGTCGTAAGGAACCAAGCTCGGCACGGTTAACTGATCCAAGCTCAGTCTGAACTTGGCACAGATCGGTTTTCAGAGGGTAGTGTAAATCGGGCTTATGGACCATGTAGAACAAAAAGGGGCACTTTCCCTCTCACTGAAAAAAATTTGCGTCATGTCAGTTAATTGTGTGATTTTTTATTTTTTGTGATTACTCAGTTAATAATCTGAGACAAAAAGTGCTGTATTTAAAGGTATAGTGAAGGATGTTCTTTTAGCGAGTGGATCATCAAAATAAGTGTTCCTACTAATTGTGCATCATTCTGGTGATATGTTTGCATAAGGCTGTCATAGGTGCTCGTAACCATTTTCACTTACGGGTGGGGAGTCTGAAATAGTGGAAAAATTGCAAATCTGCTTTTGGAAAGTAAGCTTGTATGAGCGATGCAAACAGCAACTTTTAAACAAAGCATGCATGAGGAGAAATGGGCTCGTGCACGCTATCTCATAGGTTTAATAGGCATTTCCTCTCGGGATTAGGTACAGGGTTGATTTTTTCTTCTAAAAGTTTTTAAAATTTGCTAAAATCCTGCACTGTTTCTTTAACGACATATTTCCCTGGAATTTGAACCAGTTCAAGCAAATATAATGCTACTTCAGTTCTGGTTAGAGAGAATTTAATGACTAAAAGTTTTTCACTTCAGGTGTCCATTTTATATTCTCTAAAATGTTTACCTTATAGTATACTGTATAACTCACCCTGAGTTGGCTTTCTTTCAGCAAGTGAGATGTTTTAAAGTCTGTATGCTCCCATTCACAATTAATTGATTGCTAAGTTAGTTGACAAATATTTGAATGACAAATAATCACTGATCTGATTAATCAATCAGAGCTGGTTGATAGCTTTGGTTCTGGCCAAATCCTTGTCTTTAAATTACCTAACCTGGTTAAGTCATAGTCAAGGATTTACCTAGCGGATGGCTAGTGTGAGTCCGCGCTCTGTGTTCTCAGTTGTCAAGTCTTTGGGCAAGACACTTCACCCTTCCATATCATAAAGTAGATTGACCAGCATTCTGTGAGATGTCCAAAGTTTAGGGTAATGTTTTATAGCCAAACCCTGCTTTAAACCCAACAGCAACACCACAGCTAACCTGTCTGATGGTTTTTTTTTTGTCCTATAGGTGCTGTTTGAGCTTAAGTGTTTTGTAACATATTTCTGTTACCTTCAAAGAACAGCTGAATTGCAAGTTTAAGTTAAACACTGATGGATTATTTGTCATAATTAGATAAACTCTGATTGCAATTGATTGGATTCAGGTGGAAATATTCAGATTTAAGAGAGTAAATAGGGCAGGTTTTCTTTTAATTCACAACTGTGTACTACTTAGTTTTTGTGGAAATTCTCAAAATTTTTATTATGCACCACTTTGTGGGAGTAACCTTACATAATGGGGTAAAGTTCAAGAGGTGTGAATGCTTTTGTAAAGCCCTGTTCTTTTATATTTCACTTCTCACCTCCGCCCACTCCAACCCCCCCTCACATGTCAACGGGTGATTTAAAACACGTTCTGCTTCAATTAGTGAACAAATGATCTAAGTTTGCAAACTGGGATCATTGACTTTGCTGCATGTGCAAATTTCTTTATGCTGAGTGCTTCCTAAAATGCTGATTTATGATGAAACCAAAACGCTTGTTTTTGACATTATGGTGTTCTTCTCACTTTGACCTTTAGTGAGGCAACAAAAACGTTTTATAAAACCTAAGATGTTTAAACATTAACCTATCAAATTAATATTGATTAACAAAATCTTAAACACAGCAGACCCAGTATAGAAATAATAGTGTTAGAACAATAAAGCTCTTTTAAAATCAGAAGTCTGACCTTAGCCCCCCGCCCCAAAAACACATGAATTGTAACGGAATAAATATACTTACTATCCAACCCTTTCACCAATCTACAGTATATGTCAAAAAAGATCAAATCCTCATTTTTTTTCAGCTGGATTTTATTAAACTAAGTTGACTTTGTATAGCAGTATACATGTTAGACTACAAATTTACACTTCAGGCCATAAAGTTTTAAATCTTATGTGTGTTTTAAAAGAAAAAGGCTGCTCTGACCTGCTCAGATTACTACAGGACGTATTGGGTTGATGTGGATGTATACAACAGTCTTCATTCAAATGATCCCTTTGGAGATTTGGTGACCTCAGTTATCACTCCTAACTGTAGATATGTGAAGATTTGGTTTTCTTACTTATAAAGATCAACATACATCTGCCTTATTTAAATGGTATGTTCTTTTTTCCTATTTTGAAGAGTTTTGATGTGAAAATTGCTTATGTGCCAATACCTATTTAAAGCAAACTGAATGGGAATCAGGAATTTATCAGATTAAAAGATGTTTTCCTAGAGTTTCCATTTATATTATGGGAAATATAATGATCACTCCTTATTAATAAAATCAAATTGAATTGTCTCAATTTTTTCAACATTTTTTTTCAATTTATAGATATTCTTTGGTAATACGTTATTAATTTATTTTAAAGAAGTGTTTCACTTTAAAATGTTTAGAATAAGGGTGCAAAATGGAAAGGTCTTTCTTTTTGTAACCTCCCTATCTTTCTAGTCTCATGGTAATGATCCTACTTGTGTATTAGGCACACAGACATGTCCCTACAAGATAACCTTATCATTTCTCCTATGAACCTCTGACCTGTATTTCCACAAAGTCAGCATGGTTAAAGCGATATGGTTTCGTGGATGGCTAATGCAAAGAAAGCTGCTTTGTTTAAAGAAAGAACTGATAAAAAGAACATCAATTTGTGGTTTCATAATGATCAGTTCATCGTAGCCATGGCAACGAGTCACCTCAGTTTCCCAAATAGCAAATGGGTTCAATCTAAATCCAATTAAAATTAATTGAATACAGTCAGATTCCTATCTGGCTACAGACATAGAGATTCACTCAAGTTTAGAACAGATAGAGTCAGACCTGAGGGAAATTGATAAAAGATTGCATCTGTCCAATGGAGTTCATCATTTAGCAGCTAAACTGCTTATGTCACAGCACTTGTTTCTGTTATTCATTGAAATTTTTGACTGTCTTTAATTCTATTGTATTTACAAAAACACTGACATGTAAAAGTATTTATATTATGTTTCTCTCTTATATCCCTAAACAAATCTCCAGTGCTGCCATTGCCTTCAAAAGCCACTTAACTATTTTCCTTCGAAAAAATAGCATTTAGACCAAAGAACATAATGTAGCAACCAAGTAGAGAAGTCTAAAGTGGGTTTAGATCATAAAGCAATATATAAGTACTCTGAGTATCTCTAAGATATACTAAAAAAATAATGCATCAGTTTTTGGCATTAACTTAATCATAATTTGTTAATTTAACACAACTGTTTCATGTTAGTAGGGTAGGACATAAAACAATTGTGTTAAAGTTTTTTGAAATGACCTGCATTCTCCAATAAAAAAAAAAATGCACATGCACAACCCTGTACCAGCTCCTGATAAGGTATTCCTATTAAACTCATGTGAGAGCATGCACAAGCCCATTTCTCCTTGTGCACGCTGTTTAAAAGTTGCTGTTTGCATCACTCATACAAGCGTAGTTTCCAAAAGAAGATTTGCCATTTTTATACTATGTTATGTGGGATGTTAAAAAGATGACTATATCCACTCACAAACCTTTAATAGAAGAGCGATAAGAAGAAACTTTTGTCAAACAGAAAGCATAGAAAAGTTTAATAAGCAATTTGACAACTGGACACAGCAAACACAGATTGCACTCTGGTTAGATCAGGCAAACATTTTATTTTCTGGCTATGCATAACGCCATACTTCGCCCTTAAATTAACATTTCTTCTCCAGAAATTTGGTGGCAACATCATCCTTTGGGATACTTTTCTTCAATTTAGTGGGAGAGAAATTGTTGATTAGAAGATGGATAGTAACATGGGTAAATCCTGTAGTAAAAAGATCAAGACCTGCAAAAGGCGGATCATTGTGTAGAGCTAAAACAGCTGGGGTTTTAGATCCAAGTATGTTTCTGTGTGCTGTAAAGAATCTGTGGAAAGACTGAAAATATTCTCAGATGCTCTCTGATCATACAACATTAATTAATTAGTATGGAGACATTTAACCATGATCGCAGTAGAATTAGTTTGGATAAGACATTACATGGTTTTTAAAAATTCTTATTCAATTTACAACATGTAATCAGAGGTACTCATAAAAGTAACTAAGTAAAAGTAAATTATACAAAGAGTATTTTAGAAAAAGTCAGAAAACTGTTTACAATAATTGGAAAAGTAAATCACTAAGCACTTTTGTACATTAAAAGAAGACAAACCAGTTAGTTGGTGTCCCTTTACATTAGAGGGCAAATTTGTTGAAAAACAATTTTAATCCTAAGAAAACATGATATTCAAACAATGCTGTCCATAAGAACTTAAAGTGATAGATAGTGACATGTATCCACCACTGTGCTGTCTACCTGAGAAGACGTCTGTAAGAAGACAATAAAATGGTTCCTCTCAGATTTTGAGAAAAAGAAACAAAAAAGTGCAACATGTCGAAATAATTTAAAGGCCAAATAGAATAAATTTTACTCTGCTTTATCACCAATAATTCAGAATGGTTTAACAGTAATTTGGGTGTATCCATTTTAAATGAAACTGTATAAATTACTTTCTAACCCTCAATAGACATAAAAGAAATTCATATTTCAGTTTTTACAAAAAAAAGAGTAAAAATCTTAACAACCAGTAAGGAGGACGAGAACAAACGGAGCGCAGTTCTTTTCTTCTTAAAATGCCCTTTCCACATAAGCATGATAACATCAGGTTGTTTTAATTTGTAGTGAGTAACTATAACTCAAGAAGTAAAACTTAAAATTTCCTGTCTGTAATTTAACAAAATAAAAGTCTTGATAAAAAAAAATGTAATAAAAAAAATAAAAAATGAATTCTGGGTCCTCCAAATGCTGGAATTCAACAGTATTTTATCAAATCCAGTTGTCTGATCTCTCTCATGATTTCCTTTATTTTTCTGTTTCTTTCTCAAGGTTGCAGCTGCCTGGTGGTTCTTGCTGCTGTGTCCGCCTCCTTGAGCGGCCTAATGCTGGGTTATGAAATGGGCCTGACCTCAGGGGTCCTCCTTCAGCTACGGAGCATCCTCTCTCTGTCGTGCAGAGAACAAGAACTTTTGGTGAGCTCCCAGCTGCTCGGAGCTCTACTCATCTGCCTGGCGGGGGGCACTATTCTGGATCACTACGGCCGCCGCTGCTCCTTGCTCCTGAGCGCTGCCCTGGTGGTTGGAGGAACTGTTGTGCTTGTTGCTGTGACTTCACTGGTAGCTCTCATCCTGGGCCGTGTGATAGTCGGAATGGGGACGTCTTTATCAGGGACCGCAGCGTGCCTGTACATTGCAGAGATCTCGCCGAGGGAGAGGAGGGGGCTGCTGGTCACCCTGTATGAACTGATGCTGGTTGTAGGGGTGATGCTGGGCTTCGGCTGTAGTTATGCCTTCGCTACTACGCCCCATGGATGGGCATATACATTTGGACTCGTAATTCCACCTGCACTCATCCAGATGGGTGCGCTTCTCTTCCTCCCACCTAGTCCCCGCTTTCTAGTTGCTCAGGGAAAAGTGGAACAGGCGAGGGTAGTGCTGGCCAGGATGAGAGGTAGATTTAAGGAGAGTGTAGCAGAGGAACTCAGGGAAATCCAGGTTGGGCTGAAGGAAGAATCTGAGCACAGTTTCTGGGAGCTTTTCAGTTCTAAAGCTAACCTGCGCTTACGACTGCTGACGGGAATTGCCTTAGTTTTCCTGCAGCAGGCCACCGGGCAACCTAACATCTTGTCCTACGCCTCACCTCTTCTTCGCAGCATGGGTTTCGACAGCGATGCTGCTGCTACCTTGGCATCCACAGGTTTTGGAGTCGTCAAGGTAGTCGGCACGATCCCTGCTGTGCTGCTGGTTGACCGCCTGGGAACCAAGAGCTTTCTGTGTGTGGGAGCTGTTGGAATGGGAATATCACTGGCTGCACTCGGTACTCTGACAATGCAAAGCCGCACCCACCTAACGAGCCTTTGTAAAAGCCAGACTTTATTAAATCACACCAATTCACCGTGGGATTTAAACAGAACCTCGGTAGATCTGGACATCAGTGAGATTTTTTCAACTCAACTACCAAGCCAATGGGATGCTGAGGAGGAACAGTGGACTGATGCTGAGAATGACAGGTTCTGGGACTCGGATAGAGCGACGACACATGTAGAAATGTCTTCCTCTCTAAAGTGGGTGTCATTGATAAGCCTGCTGGTCTACGTTGCAGCCTTCTCAGTTAGCCTGGGACCCAGTAAGTATCTGTTTGTTCCTTTTCTCTTTCCTCTACCTCCTATTCATTGCATCGCAAAGTTACAGAATTATCAAAATAATCTTCATTCGTTCAGCCTTCCTCATCTGTCAACAAAGTCTATTGATTTGGTTTTCAGAAGTAGTTTCTACACTTAAAACTAGTAACTACAGTTTACTTTGTTTGGATTTTTCAATATGGTTTTCAATATGTTTAAAAGTAAAACTTTGAAGAGTGTGCATTTGTGTTGACGCCCTCTAAGTGAATACTGTTATGTAGAACCACTTCCAATGGAATTACAGCTAAAAGTCTTAAGGGCATAAAGACAAGAACCTGTACTGTACAATTACAGTACATCCTCAGGGTAAATCATGGGTAGATTTAAAGCACACACAGGGCTCGTCATTTAAAAATTCCAACTAAGGATTCTTTGAAGTCGTAGGGAAATGGCTATTCCAACAGTTGCATTTCAGAATTCTCACAAGTGGTGACCGACGAGTGAATAAAGTGAA